AATTAATTAATTAATTAATTAAAACCCAACTTGCTTCTTTACAACAGTGTGATTAGCAAATTGTGTACTTCAAAAAAAAGGAACCAAAGCCAACTTGAATCAATTTGTTTTACCATTTTAATGTGAAACATCTAACAAATTGAAGAATAAAGAATGACTTTTGGGGTTCAAATTGATCTAAACTATTTGACTCATACATGTTTCTGGTCTTTTCTTGAGGAATATAAAGATAAACACAAGTTGGCAACTTGTGAATTACAACATAGTGTTATTTTAGTGAATTTCAAATTTGCAAATTGCAGCCACAAAAAATAGAGAACTCGACAAAAAATTTATGGAGTCATCGAATGATTTTATTATGGAGTCATCCACAACTTATAGGCTATGTTTGGTAAAATTAGCTGATAAGTTAGCTGATAGCTGATAGCTGATAAGCTAGCTTATAGCTTATTAGTAATTTCGAGTTTATACCTTATAACTTATGACTTATAGCTGAAAAACTAGCTTATTTGACTAGCTTATTTGAAAAGCTACTAAAAGAAGCTTATCAAATAAATTCGAGCTTTTAAAATAAGCTCGTCCTACCAAACATAACTTATTTAAATACAAGAGCTTATAAGCTAATCAAATAAGCTATCAGCTAGTTTATTGGTATACCAAACATAGCCTTAATGTATTGACATTTGTCGAAATTGTATTTATTGTAGAACACATGTCAATATATTATTGGTGAATAAGTGTGGATGACTCCATAAGTCGAGTCATCCAATGACTTCATAACAAAACTGGACAAGTGGAATATGGGTAGAAAAGGCCTTTTGTCTCTTCTTTTTTTTTTTCATTTTAATTCCATCATCACATTATTGCATGCAAGTGTGACAATTTGCACCAATCCTTATCAACATCTCTAAAGGTCATTCATGTTCCTAGCTAGTTCATATAATTCATTTATTAATGAATGTAATAAAGTATATAGTAGAAATTGAGTCGGTTCAAATAAATAAAGTTGAAAGCTTTGGTTTGTTTTTCACTATGAAATTTGGCTAAATGCATTTTTATAGATTATTAATCTTTTTTATGCACACCTTCAAACATTATTAATCTAAAATTCTTGGTTTTAGTACCATTGATTATTGATAGAACCTAATCAGATTATATTGTCTTTTTTTTTTTTTTT